ATCTATCTATCTATCTATCTATCTATCTATCTATCTATCTATCTATCATCTATTATTTATTTTAGTTTTGTTGTTTGATTTTTTGAAACAGGGTTTCTCTCTGTTTGGCTGTCCTGGAATCGCTTTGTAAACCAGGGTGGCCTCTGCCTCCCTGAGTACTGGGATTAAGGGAATGTGCCATCATACCTGGCTATAATGAATAATTCCATTTTGTACAATAGAACAACAACATTCAGTACTCTCATTTCAAATTTACTCTCTATTGCCTGTCTTTTCTCTTTCCATTAATCCAGCCTCTGGCAACCACCAGTCTACTCTCAGCCTCTTGGGGGCAATGTTTTAATTATTTCTTTTACTTTGTGAGATTATGCTGTAATTACATCATTTATGTCATTTCCCTCTCCCCCCTTCAAATCCTTCTTTCTCTATAATGTTATATAACATATAACACTTTTTCTCTCTTTCATAGCCACGGACATAACATAACTTTTGTTATGTGCATCTATGCATATACATGGATAATCCTAAATATATAAATATAACATGTTGAGATAATTTTTATATTCCACTCATGAGTGAGATATTCTTTAATTTTCATTTCCTAATAACTAATCTCCTCAAGTTCTTATAATTTATTTAAGAACTAAAAACCCTGTATATTGACTTTACTCATTTTTTTAGTCACTTTTAAGAATGTTATAAAAGTCCCAATAATGCTGGGTAGAGTCTTTCAGAGTCCCACTGTGGTAGGCTCCTGTCCTGATCCCTGTTTTTGTCCCTCTCCTGATATCTGTCTGCTTGCCTTTCTGAATGAGGATTGCTCATCTTACCCAGGGTCCTCCTTCTTGCTTAGCTTCTTTAGATGTACAGATTTTAGTATATTTATCCTATATTATATGTCTAATATCCACTTAAAAGTGAGTATATACCATGTGTGTCTTTCTGCTTCTGGGATACATCACTCAGGATGATCTTTTCTATATCCCACCATTTGCCTGCAAATTTCATGGTTTCCTTGTTTTTAATTGCTGAGTAGTATTCCATTGTGTAAATGTACCACAATTTCTTTATTCATTCCTCCGTTGAGAGACATCTTGGTTTTTTTTTTTTTTTCCAGTTTCTGGCTATTATGAAGGAAGCTTCTATTAACATGGTTGAGCAAATGGCCTTGTTGTGTACTTCAGTATCTTTTGGATATATGCTTAGGAGTGGTATAGCTGGATTTTGAAGAAACACTATTCCTACCCAGCAGGGTATCAAAGCAGATGCTGAGACTCATATCCAAACTTTGGGCAGAGTGCAGGGAATCTTATAGAAGAAGGGGCAGATAGAAAGACCTGGAAGGGACAGGAGCTCCACAAGTAGAACAACAGAACCAAGAAATCTGTTCCCTAGTGGTATTTTCTGAGACTGATACTCTAAACAAGTACCATGCATGGGGATAACCTAGAACCTTTGCACAGATGTAGCCCATGGCCGGTCAGTATCCAAGTGGGTTCCCCAGTAAGGGGAATAGGAACTGTCTTTAACATGAACTCAGTGGATGGCTCTTTGATAACCTCCCCCTGAGCGGGGAGCAGCTTACCTGGCCACAGAGGAAGACAATGCAGCCAGTCATGATGAGACCTGATAGGCTAGAGTCTGATGGATGGGGAGGAAAAATTCCCCTACCAGTGGACTTGGAGAGGAGCATGGGAGGAGGTGAGAGAGAGAGTACAGGATTGGGAGGGAATGAAGGAGGGAGCCTCTGCTGGGATACAAAGTGAATAAGCTGTAATTAATATTAAAAAAATCTCAGTTATAATAATCTTTTTTTTGAATTTTATTTTTTTTCTTATCATTACATTTTATTAACTCTGTATCCCAGCCGTGTCCCGATCCCTCATTCCCTCCCAGTCCCTCCCTCCCTCCCTCATCTCCAATGTGCCCCTTTCCAAGTCCACTGATGGGGGGGGAACCTCCTCCCCATTCATCTGATCCTGTTTTATCAGGTATCTTCAGGACTGGCTGCAAAGCTCTCCTCTGTGGCCTAACAGGACTGCTCCTCCCTTGGGGGGTGGGGAGGCCAAAGAGCCAGTCATTGAGTTCCTGTTAGAAATAGTCCTTGTTCCCCTCACTATGGGAAACCAATTGGGGTAATAATAATCTTAATGTGATTAATTTTACTGTGTTTTAGTAGGAAATTTTAAAGAAGTATTAGGGTTCCAAAATTATTATCATGGTTATTTTATACTAAACTAGTAAAATAAACTACTCTTCACATTGCATTCTTGAAAGTTCCTTTCAGAGTAACCTTAGAAGATTCTTATCTGATGACGATGTTTTTATAGTATTTGACACAACAACATTGTTTTTTTGGTTGAGGTATGCTTGCTTACCATGTACAGACCTTAGGTTTAAACCCCAGTTTAAAAAAAAAAAACAAATAAAATTTGGATTAAGTTTAGGGATTGTAAAAAATGTATAACTGGGTTTTCAAAATCAGATGAAAATAAATCTCTTATCCAGATGTTCTCTCAGATATCCAGATGTTTTCAAAACTAAGTACTGTTTCTGTGTACCTGAATGATTGGTCATAAAGTATGATTAAAATATTATGAAGTCTGAGTTTACCTCTAAAATGATATTACCTCTAATCAAACCTTGAAGCAGAATTAATCTCATGCAATCAGTATATGATGTGGCAATTTACACACACACACATATATATTTCACATATACCTTATATGTTATGAAGTACAAAGACTCATATAAATATCGGTGGTTGGTATGGTTTTATTTGATTGCCAAATATTAAGTTAACCATTCCTACTAATTTGTGAACTGTCTTTTGATTTTTTTTATTTACTCAGTTATGATTAGTATTAGGTCTCTAGTATTAGGGCTAACTAAGGTGCTTATAAACATATCAAAGCAGATATTGGCTGCCAGGTTGTCCCAGCATCCCTCAGCCCTTACATGTTACAGGGTCCTCCTGGGAGGCATGTCCTTCCCCTTTTGCTGAAACCTCCAGCTCAGCTGCTGGGCTGGCCTTCTACCAGCTGCATTTCCATTTTGGTTACACTGATCCTTTTACCCTTTTTTTCTAATGGCCTCTTGACCTCTTGGCTGCTACTCCAGGTTCCCCTTTGTCTATCTCCTCTCTCTTTTCGTATGGCCTCATTCAGTCTGCTGGTCATGTTCACTTTAGACTCTTCCAGATGCCTCTGTTTATGCCTCTGGGTATGCTCTCTCTCATGTCTACAAGAAAACTGCCACTCAGCCATACCTAGGAAAGTCATGTCATTGTTTTAATTATTTATTTTTCATTCATTTAGTAAGTCACAGTTTAACACCAACTTACTTGTTTTTTTTAAAGTCAAAGTTTCAGGCTCTGACAGATCAAGATTATGAAAACCAACCACTGTTTGGGAAAGGTGCAGATGTCTTCAGGGCATCCATTCTTGTACCTAATCTTGTCTATCTGCCCTTGTAATAAGGCAGAGACAGGTAAAATTCTCTCTTTTGCCCAAATATTCATCCATTTGGTTCTTTGTTGTTTCTGATATATCATAAGCTAGATGGTGGATATTGGTGTTGGCCCTTGTGGATGTTGATTTCAGCTATGCAATTTTAGAGATAACTCTGAAAAGAACTTTCAAGGAAGTAAAAGCAGTTTTTCTGATCTCCAACCTAGGTTAGGTGCATCAAGATCAAGGGATTTTATTTAAAGTGTAAAAGGATATAAAAACACAAGTAGGAGATTCTGCTGTCCCAGTTAAAGGGTATATTTAAAGTGTTTTCTTATGAACAGTTTTACCTAAGAAAGCCTTTAACCTAGTTTGCACTTCAATTACTCCACATAATTACTTAGCTAATTTTAGGTCTTAAACAAACCAGAGATGGTTATCAGCAAATTGAGTGCCTCCACGACTTGAATCTGGCAGAATGGTCTTCGTTTTATAAGTTTAATGATGTCTGCCTTTCCACTTCTGTCCATCAGATACAAACTAGTTCGGGTGCCCAGCAATAAATTGACTCCTGTTCAGACACAGACAAAGAAAAGTGTTGTATTAACTGATTATAGTTATTAGCATGTATTAATTCTATAGAAAGTGGTTTCAGTGTGTTTTTTTTTAACTTATCTGTCACATAATTTAAGCAAAATCACTCTCATTTACCTCCTTATCATTTTCTTTTTCACTCCCTCTAGTCCTTTTCCATTTCACTAATAGTCCCCATTATACTTTTAGGACCTTAAATTAAAAAAAAACCCTACATTTTGCATAGGAGGCCAAATGTGTATTTGTCTTTATTCATTTGGCTTATATCAACAGCCAGTTATAACTTATTTTCCTACAAACATGATTCTACTCTTTTCACAGCTGAATAACATTACCATGTATATGTGTATTCCATATTTTTGCCCTTTATTGATTTTCTAAATACATATTTAGATTTACTAAATATATATATATATACTGATTTACTAAGTATATATGTATAATTACTTTTGTAATTTGAGTTTACTAATCTATGTAAAGATGATTTTCAGCATTTCAGTCTACTGTTAGCCTTGTTTACCTCATACTATTCAACTATGTACACTCTTATCAGCTTATGTCTCATAAAAATGTGTAAGTAGACGTCCTTACACTGTAGCAATATTTTATTGCCTGCTGTCTTGTGTGCCACCTGACATACAGAATATTGTGTATACTGTGTCACAAACATTTGCAGAACCAATGAGTCCTTCTGAAAATTACCTTTAAGCAAACTTATTCTGTACAAGCACAGTTTATTTTGGTTAATTTTCTAGATATGAAACTACATTTCTGGGTAGTTGCCAGACTGAAGTGCTTATGCCACTAAATTGGAAAATCATTGAGGATGAACATTTTCTTCAAATGGCTCAGTAAATATAGTTAAATTTGTTACTTGCTTCTATTTTTTATTTAAGAAACTTCTGTTCAATCATGCATTAGGTGAAAATCTATAAAATGTGAAGTTTACTTTGGATCTCTCCCCTGGTTGTGATTAAATTATTTTATAGTAATGTTTTATACAGACTAGCTTGGGACTACCTATAATCTCAGCCCTGCTGATATGGTCATAAATTTTCTAAAACAAAGAGTAGAAAAAGTTTGTTAAATTTAAGACTTTACAGAGAGAAATTAGACTCTAGAATTAAAAATCAGAAGATCCTGCAGAAATCTTTCTTGCAATAAGCATATGCCAACTTATAAAACATTAAACTCAATTTTTCAAATAGGATAAAGTCTAATTTTGTATTTCCCTCCAGTTAAGTTAAAAAACATAAAAAAATAGAAGACATTAATTCAACAAGCCAATTCAACTGTCAGCCAATTACAATAAGTTCATTTTAATTATACTGGCAATGGTAAAAATGTTTTACTTCTATAAGCTTTGCAAGTTTTCTACTTGCAAAGTTTCAAAAAAATCAAACTTACCCCATAAAGAACCACAGCAGATCTCAGAAGTGAACTCCTTTTCATACACGTGGATTAGTGGTTTGTTATATGCTGGAGAGACATAGAGTGGGTTAACATTGACTTCAGATGCTAGCTGAGGTGGGTTTTCAGGCACCTCAACAAATCCAGCATATACTGTAAAGGGAAAGGTATTGAGACAAATCACTGGTCTATACACTAATGTGCCAAGTATTTCCATAATGGAGATATCCCTCAAATTTGGTTTCCTTATTGCATTTCATCTTTTATGCAAGTGTTTTTGTAAATTAATTTTTTAAATTTAAATTTAATTTTTTGACAATTTATTCATTATATATCTGTTCTTAGCTCAATGGAAAATAAGAATCATAGTGGTTAAAATAAATTGCTGAGTATGAATTTGATTTGTGGCTTTGATTAAAGTGCAAAACCAAGAACTGAATGAAGGACTCAATATCTCAATTGCAGTTCAAATCTAGTCATCATAAAGATTCAGTGACAGCTGGGTATGATAGCAAAGGCTTGTGATCCCAGGAAGATGAGGAAGTCAGTGCCAGTAACAGCTATAGAATGAGGTCAGTGCCATCCTTGTTACACGAGACTCCCAACAATCTAAGAGAAAAGAAAAGATTTTACTGAGGAGTAATTAGAAATATATAAATATATATTATTTATTTATTTGGGCACATATATTGGGGCTTCGTTCTTTCCTTCCACCATGTGGGTCTAGGGGATTAGACTTGTTAGGCTTGGTGGCAAATACCTTTACCTTCTGAGTCTTCTTGCCAGTCTGAGGGATAAATTTTTAAAAGCATGCATCAATCTCAATTTATACCAAACAAATATTCAAATGAATTACTGGCTGAGCAAGTAGAAGCATTCTGCATGGAAAATCACACCAGAAATACTTAAAGGTAGCATTCACACTGCCAGTATCAGAAGTAGAAGCAGAACCTCTGGAA